GGCCTCTGGATACTGCGAGCAGCATTTTGACTTTCAAATCCCTATCAAATCTCAGGAACTCTTATTACCTGCCTGCATCCCCAGTGTCTCAGGGATTTGTCACAGACCCAGTTACACTGGGGATCAGGGGGAGGGGGGTTCTAGAACCACTGAGCAGCAGTTTCTTACCTGAATTACCCTACCCTTTAGTTTGCTTGCAGTCGGATCCGGCTCCAAGACTGTGTGGTTAGATTCTTCAACGTTACTCCGGCTACAGTAGATCCCTGTTACCTCCAAGCTCTCAATTATACCTTGGCATCAGATACCCCACCCTGCCAGGGGAAGGATGACTTGACCTGCAGTTTCCCTGAGGTATGTGCATCAGTAGTGGGATTCAAATTATTTTTACTGGGCGTGGCTTGGTGGACATGGCATGAGTTGGGTGGGCGTGGTTTGGTGGGCGTGGCTGGGGAAGGATACTGTAAAATACCCATTCCCTGCCCACCCCAGGGGAAAGTTACTGCAAAATCCCCATTTCTTCCCTATCAGCTGGGACTTGGCAGGCGGAGAATAGATGGGGGCAGAGCCAGTCAGAGGTGGGATTTACCGGGTCTCTGAACTACTCAAAATTTTTGTTACTGGTTCTCCAGAACTGGTCAGAACCTGCTGAATACCAACTCTGATGTGCATAGGAGAAGGCTTTGGTATGGAAAATGGGGCTTGGGTAGGGTAGAAGAATGCCAATCTTTGTGTGCAGAGACGTGGAACATTTCTGTGGGTTGTCTCCTTCCTCCTTCACTCCATGTTGCCCCCCCAGAAGTAGCTTGCTAAATGGACTGTCCTCTCTTGGGCATAGAGGTTGCTTGAGCTTGGAATGGGAAAATGTGTTGGTAGAACCAGAAAGGGGAGAGTAAGAGATAAGAGGCTTGCTGGATGGGAGACTTGAACTGCTGCTGAACGGTAAAAGTCTGCCTCCATCATTTGGCTGATTGTGCTGGAAGCAGAAAGCCAATCTCTCCCCCCCCCCAATCCCCTCCCCACAGCTTGGATGTTTATTAGCCTCCTGCCTCTGATACTGAAGGAGGAGACTTGTAACATCCACTGTGATTAGCTGCTAGCACATCCGTCCAATCTTGCTATTGCAATCTTCCAATAAAAGTTTCCTTTTGAAATGGACTTTCGTTTCAAGAGTTCTGCTTTCTTGAGAAGGCTGGCGAGGCAGGACCTGACAACATCTCTCATTTCAGGGAAGAAGACAGGGTTGGAGACGCTTTGAGGGAGCGATTCTGGGACTTCTGGGAACACATCCGGATTTGTAAGGGGGGAGTCCTTACACATCTCTATCCTTTCTTCCTTTTAGTACTTCACTTATTCGGTGTTGCTGAGTCTGCTGGCCTCTTCCATCTTCCTGCACATCAGCAGCCTTAGGAAGCTGGCACTGCTGGTGACGATGGAGGTGGTGTACTTGATACTGGCTGAGGGCCCACAGGGCGTGCTGTTTGAGAACTATGACCTTCTAGTGGCCACTAATGCTCTGTAAGAACCTCTCTCTCTCCAGGGGTGGGAAGAATCTCAATCTTCATTCAGGCCTCAAATGCCTCTCAAGATTTTGGGGTGGATGAGGTGGTTCCCTACAATTATTCTATACAGATAGTCCTTATGACAGTGATTGGGCTTGGAATTTCTGTTACTAAGTAATGCAGTTGTAAAGTACAATGCTGTGGGCTCACATCAACTTAGCAACAGCAATCCCCCCGCCCCGCATTCCGTATTGCCATAATTAAGTGAAGATTGCGGGTCATTAAGCAAGCACCACCTTGCAACTTTCTGCCAGCTTCCGCAGCCAAAGTAAGTCCCAGGTCATTTGAAAGCAGGCTAGCAGGCAGGGAAATGGCTGCTGGGTGGGAGAAGGTGTCAGAATAGTGGGTGATGTGCAGTGTAAATGCAGTGCAACCAGAGTTGGCTGTTCCGGGATGCGTGTGGTTGTGCGAGTAACAGGGGTTAGCATGGTGCAAGTGCAGTGGGGCTTGGATGGTTGCTGTTGGATGGGCGAAGGTGCAGTGTGAACACAGAGAAGCTGGGGGAGGGTGCACAAGTGGGAAAGTCTTACCTGAGCAACGTGTGATCTTCCTTGCCAGCTTCCTCATTGACTTTGCTTGTGGGAAACCAGCAAGGAAAGTTGCAAATTGCAATCAAGTGATTGCAGGATAATGCAACTGTTGTGTGAGCTAATTGCCAAAGATCACGATCACATGACTTCAGGGGTTCTGGAATGGTCAGACCTTAGAAGACTGGTCATAACCATCACTCATTCAGTGCCGTTCTAACTTTGCATGGTCTCTGAACAAGTGGTTGTTAACCAAGGACCATCTGTTCCATCATTAGATTTGACGTCTCCATGCCACCTTGAATGTAGCATTGGAAATTATTACTAACGTGTTAGTACTAGATGTAATAATAATATGGCACCACTTTTTCAATCAATCAATCAGTCAGTCAGCCAGCCAGTCAGTCAGTCAGTCAGAATAGAGCAGGAAAGGACCTTGGAGATCTTTTAGCTCAATGCCTTCTCAAGCAGGAGACCCTATGCCATTTCAGACAAGTGGCTGTCCAGTCTCTTCTTAAAAACCTCCAGTGATGAAGCACCAACAACTTCTGAAGGCAAGCTGTCATCACTGTTAGGAAGTTTTTCCTTAGTTCCAGGTTGCTTCTCTCCTTGATTAGTTACCTTCTTTTTTTCTTCTCCTGCCCTCTGGAGCTTTGGAAAATAAATTGATACCGTCCTCTTTGTTGTAGTTTCTCAAATACTGCAACATTGCTATTATTCCCCCCGCCCAGTCCTTCTTTTATCAGTGTGTTCTCAAATGCAGGGAAATGCTCTCATTTTAAAAAGTGCACCTGATGTTTTTTAAGAAGAGCACTGTATTGGCAATGAACAGCATTTCTTGATTGGCCAGGTAGGCAGTAGTAGGTGGGCTGTGGGTGGAGCAATCCATCAGTCATTCAATGTTCAGGGCTGTGCTTTACGGCTGCCAAAATCCTGCCAGTGAGTTCTGTCTGTCTTCTTCAGATGCTCCCTATACCTAATCTTTTACTTAGAAGATTGATTTGCCTTTCTAGCTGTCCTTCTTTTTCTGGATTATGGTGTTCACACAATGTGCTTATTCTGTCTTTCACCCAGTTAACATGTTGAGCAAACTCAACCAGATTTCCTGGAAGTCCTAGACCTCAGGGACAAAGATAGAAAAATAGATAGCATCATGAAAGATAGCCTCTCGGTAATTGAAGACCCCAAAGGCACATTTGTATAAACTTTCTCCAGCCCATTACAGAAATGCTACTCCACGTATAAGTCCTTATTCCTTTGGATGGAATACATGCGCACACACAAACACAGAATGAGGCATTTACCCTTCCTGCCCACACACATATCCTTGACTTTTTTGTCCACCGGAAGAAGGAGAAGAAGAAAAATTACGCATCTCTTTTCTCCTCAAGTGATGGTTTTCTCTGGATAGGAGATTGCAACTGTGGCTTTTGTAGCAGTAGATGGCACCTGCTGACCTCCAATTTTTAAAATGATTTTTATTTAATTATTTAAATTAAATCACTGGAATCTTTTGAAATATTTATGTTTTCACATGAGGATCAGTATGGTGTAGTGGTAAAATGGGTAGTGGCTAGGTGTGAATGTGATGTGATTAATCAGTGGGGTACACTGCCACTGGGGAGACTCAGGTTCCAGATCCACTGTCAGCCACAGAAACTTTCGGAAGTACTTTGGGCATTACACTTTCACTCAGCTCAGCTTGTGGTTGTTTTGATGAAATATTGGAAGAGGGACTAGTGCAAATGTGGCCTTGAATTCCTCAAGGAATAGAGGAATATAAATCTGACAGTAATTATCTTTAAAATGTTTTTCAGTCATGGTATTATGTAACAAAAAACACGTGATACTCATTGCTTTAAAAAAAAAGCTACTGATTCCGTTTTAGGCTGTACTTTAGAGATCTCCATTAGGGTTATTTTGAAAAATGAAATGTGGGAATAGACAAAATTATCCTGTGACATAACTTCACATATAAAGTGAAAACATTCAGTAGATGAGGTTGTGAAGGGAAGGGAAAACTAATGTGTCAAATCTGTGAAATGCTTCTGGCTGCCCAAGAAAAAAAAAACACCAGTGGACTTGTAGAAGACTATAAAGTGTGAAAAAGCGAAGCCTGTCTTGGAGTTAGAATGTTGGCATTCAGAAGTTGACTTAAGCCAGTTCTTCTGAGCCTTGTTCTCAGTGAACCTTCAAAATCTTGTAATTAAAATATAATCTCTTATCTGAAAGTGTTTATTAAATCGAGGGTCTCCAAACTCAACAACTTTAAGGCTTATGGACTTCAATTTCAAGCATGGCCAGCTGGAGAATTCTGGGAGTTGAAGTCCACAAATCTTGCAAGTTGCCAAGTTTGGAGACTCCTGTATTAAACAAAGGAAAAGAGACCAGAATAATTCAGACTTCATTAAGGACTATTTCTAAAAATGTCTTCTTTTCTCTTTTCCAAAACAGGTCAGCCTTCAATGAGACTCAACCCTGGTGAGTAGGAATTGGGTGAGGACTAAGTGTGTGTGTGTGGGGGGGGAGGATTGATGACAGGGAGAGACTAGTTTCAGAAACTAGTAAAAGTATTACCAAAGTTTTGCGAAGCGTGTTTGGAAAGTAATGCTCTTAGGACAAAAAAGGCATTCGTCCCCTGAGCATTAAAACTGAACAGATGACTAGGGACATTTTGCCTATTTCCCCCTTGTTTTTGCTCATCCTGGTTTGGGTTTCCGTGAGTCTTGTTTGTTCTACCACAACAAGACCAAACTGATGATTTGATTTAAGTAGCAGAAGGACAAGATAAGTACATATCCAGAGGATCTTGCAAATCTAAATTTAAAATGAACGGAGTTCCCCGAGGAACTTAATATAACAGAAAGGAAGAGAAGCAAAATGTATCAAGGGACCGCAGTAAACAACTGCAGTTGTGCACTAATTTAGGAATTATTTTAAGTGAGGAATGATGATTAAAGAGATATCACAGAAGTTTTGTGCTCAAGAAGAGGATTAGAAAATAAAACATGATATTGATGATGATGATGATGATGTAGTTGACTAGTATCCCACCTTTCTGCTTCGGTGAGCTCTCAAGGTGGCTGACTAAAAAAGATACAAAAAGTTGAGAATGTTAATTTTTTGGTAATTAAACCCTGGAATAATGTTTCTTTAGACACTGAGGAAGATGAGGAATCAACAAAATTCCCAAGGGAGCACCATCCATGGCTTGGGAGCAATTCAGGAGAAAGTCATCTCCAATTTATAGAAAAAGAAGCTTCTGATAACTAGATGTCTCCAAGATGGCCACTCCGGATGACTAAATAACCATACAAATTGGCTTTAGGAGAGGCAATCCCTTAGACAGTGGGCTGTAAGCCATTTAGGGCTTTAAAGGTTGCTACTAACACCTTAAATGGCACCTGATCAGCAACTAAGAACCAGTGCAGATGTTTCACATTGCTTTATGTTTATTCTTATTAATTCTTTCAGGGCACCTCCTGCCTTTCTGCACATGGCTCCTTTCCCTATCTGTTATCTCCTAGATTTGTTTGGACTGAAACATGATCTGTTTGGGGATTCTGTGTCTTCCAGTTCCTAACCAGTCTGGACTACATCAGAGCGGACTAGAATCTAGGGTCAACTAGGGCTAGAATAGGGTCAACTGGCAACAGTGTAATTAGGTGGGGAGGGGAGCTGATTGAGTTGGAATGGCAAAGATCATGGGGTAAAGCTCCAAGGTGTTAGGATCATGAGAACTGAAAAGTTAGTACTTTGTGTTCTTTCTTTAATCTTTTTTTTTTGCCTCCCCCAATTTATTTTAATAGTTCCTCAGAGAAGAAAGTACCTCTGCAGTACATGACCCCTGTTATCCTGTTACTTTTTGCTTTGGCCCTTTATCTTCATGCCCAGCAAGTTGAATCAACAGCACGTCTTGATTTCCTCTGGAAACAACAGGTATTGGAGAAAAAGTAGAGATTCTGAAAACAAGTTGCAAGAGAGAGTTTGTAGTATTGATGAATACCCAGATTTGCGGTTGACTCTTATCTTTTGTCCAACTGTTTAACATTCCGTCTTCTCATTGTCAGGGTCAGGATAAGAAAGAGCCTTAAGAGTTTTTATCAGCAGTAGGCAGGCAGTAGGCAGGGAGAAGGTCAGCTGCAAGCCCATCTTCTCAGATCCTATTGCCTAAACCAGGGGTCAGCAAACTTAAATACTCAAAGAGTCACAAAGGTCCTAATCGGAAGCTCCCTGTTCAATTCAAGAGCCAACCGGAAGTCTGGTTCCCCCACCATAGAGTCTCCTCCTAGCGCAGCATCCTTTTCCGCTACCTGTCCTAACAGAAAGCCCTATCAATTGTGGAGCTGACTGGTGACAGGGAGCCACAGCAGAGGGATGAAAGAGCCACATGTGGCTCCAGAGCCGCAAGTTGCTGACCCCGGCCTATACTTTGCAGTGACGTGCAGTGAGCTTCATGGCTGGTGAGGCAAGCACGAAAGCCCCGCTGAAGCCCCGGCGCCACGTCCGCCATAGAGCGGGACCGGGACCCGCTCTATGGCGGACGGCGCTGGGACTTTAA